ACAAAGGAGTGGGGAAGTGAAAAAAGAAAATATACATATCTCAAATGTTGCGATAGGGGCAGTAGATATTGTTTTCAATGTACTTTACGCAGAACTCACAGAGTTAAAAAGAAAGCTGCGCGTGCTTCACATTGGCTGCTTCCTACGATAATATACGGTGTGATAGAGGAGGCATAGTCTTCCCTGAAATTGCAGTAGTGTTCCGATAACAGTATATCTTACACATGTATTTAGCGTCTGTTTGTAGGCCATGCAGTTTATGATTCATTTAAGGTTTTAAAAAGACATACTCATTGATTGCACGTTCAAAGAAACTTATTCTGTTGGGATATGACTCAAAGAAGAATGATTGATTAAGGCGAATGCATAATTAAAGAGCAACTCGACATTGTATTCATTTCCCGAGTATGCATCGTTCAGGCTTTACGATTACGCTAGCATATTGGACAAGAATGAGTTTATAGTTGACAATTGACAATGAAATGAGGATTGTTGTAACAATGCTTACAGTCTTTTTTTACTTATATTGTCTTCTGATACCAACCACAAGATCCAATGTCACGACAACATGGAACTACTCTGGTATCTGGTTTCTGGTGTCAAATGATGTGTGGGTGGCTCATTGAGAGCGTACAATCTTGATTTAAGTATTACCCAAGTATACAAATCGGTTTATAACTATATTTAGTTTTAATGTATATCTATATTTGAAGATAGCAGTACAATACACTGGGTAATATTAAGACGCAGTTTATATGAAAGAGGATATCCCTGTGTTCTGACGAATAGATGATATATTTCATGAGTGAGGTGAATATTTTCAGAATTGCAAATTGCACATTTGAAAAATATGACAAACTTTCAACCCAACGAGTGAAATATGTCTGTTTTTCACAACTTAACAAACAAATATTTTTTTTTACTGTGTTTGATTGTTTTTGTTTATTTATATGAAAGGCGATTGTTTTCGTTAACAGGTTATCGATCTCCCATCAAAAATGTTTAAACAGGAAATTCTTTAAATATAAACTGCTTCGTCACAATGTGATGAAAATTGTGGGTTTCGTTAACATTCGAAAACGTTATTTTTGTTATAAATCCTCATATTTCTAATTTAACATGTAATAGATATTGGTAAACATACTTTGCACCGGATATGATATGTATGGTAGCAGTGTTGATCAAAGTACAGCACAGCAGGTATATTTTAAGATGAACTATGCAATACAGTATAAAAGTGCAGTACGCCAGATTATTTATCAAACAGAATTTATCCTAGATATGGTGACAAAGGTTAAGTGCTACAGTATAAGTTAATCAAATTCAGAAATACTCATGATCTGAGCGTTATTAAGGGCAGAATATATAACATGGATGAGCAATTATTGGGAAAATAATTGGCGAGCGCCGCTTCGTCTTGAGTTAATTAGTGTGCCATATATAGATGTACAGTATATTTTAGATAGATACAAAGTACTTATTTTCAATAAACATCGTTGAACATTAACCTAGAAATAGATTTTGTAATTAGAATTTCTCAGGTCTGTAAAACACGTCTGCAATGTCTGAGGGCAGATTTGTAAATGACATATGTTATTGTCAACTGTGGTTATAATAGTTTCGTTCATTATTAATATAAATGAGACGAATGCTACAAACAGCATTACTTAGCACAACGGTTACAGCATCCTCGATACTCCGGGGGTTACGCTCACCTTCGCTCTCTGCACCCCTGGAATATATCACAACAAAATTGAAAGCACGGAGATAGCTATTTGATTAGTCTCAGGTAAAACAAAAACCTTGACCAATCGCTAGGCTGATACCTGTCTTTTGAAGATTACAAAGAAGCGACACACAACTTCAAAAAAAGCCTGTCAGGTTTTACCGTTACATTTGTACGTGACCGCAAGATTATGTTGATGTACATTAAAGGATCGAACTAGTTTTCTTGTCTCATCAACAACGTAGCGCACACTGAACCTTCAATTTTGCTATGACATATTCCAGGGGTGCAGAGAGCGTAACCACTGGAGTATCGAGGATGCGGTTACAGACTCTGAAATCGGATCTGAATTACTATTGATATAGTAATTAAATCGATGCCGCCAAGTGATATATCTGATCTGAGACTCTATTAGCAGAATTGTAAAGAAATACAGTCAAACCTGCTCGACCACCTCTAGCAGACCACTTCTGAAAAGGGACCATCTCTGTTTATTGACGACCGCTGTAAAGAGCCACTCCTTTTAAAACTTACTACAACTGTAAAAGGGACTATCATGTTCCCCTGTAAGCTGACCTCCCAACCCTTTTAGGAAACTGCATCTGTTAAGGGACTATACCTGTTAAATGCCATCTCTCTGATACCAATAGTATTAGGATATCACACCTGTGTGCTGACAACCTCTCTTATAAGGAGATCAATTCCATTAGATCACCTCTGATGAGGGACCGTCCTTTTTTTCCTGACCAACTCTCTTGTAAAGAGACCAATCATATACGGAGTCACCTTTGTATAGGGACCATCCCCTGTTTTTTGACCATCTCTCCCATAAGGAGACGTATCGAATAATGAGTCACCTCTATTAAGGACCACCCTTGATTTCTAACCACCTTTAGTACATCGATACCAATCCTATTACGTATAGGAGACTATCTGTTGTAAGGGACGGCCCCTGTTTTTCGACCACCTTTCTAATAAGGATATTAATCTTGTTGGTATACCCTTGTTAACTAACATGTTTTGAGATCATGTCCGTCTTGACACCACCTCTGATAGGAGACGTTCGGTCAGAATCCCAAATTCAGCTATTTTTATGTTAACTGTATTCAGTGACCACATGCAATGGTATACCACTCTCTGGAATTTGCAAACGTGTTTATTGAATAAAATGTTGACGACTATACATTCTGACGTAATCTAAAATTTATTTTGATATATGTTTCATGAGGAAAACTTAGTTGTGTGAACCAACATGCACTATATTGGTTATCGGAACTTTCATGTAGTACAATATCTAAGGTACCTGATAATAAAAAACATCGAGATGTATATAGGAAATATGAAATTGGTTGATATCTATGGGAAATAGCAAGTATTCACTTATAGATGGTAAACATCAATGGTAAACATCATGCATCACAAACACCTTGGGAAATATCAGGCAACATATTATCTACGGTAAATATAATGCATCGCAATCACCTTTGGGATATCAATCAATACAATGTCTATGGGGAATAAGTATTCATAGTTTTGAAAGATGGAGTCAAACAAATGTAAACCACATGCATCAAGTACTGGGATATTAATGGAAAAATAAGTATAACAATGTCTATGAGAAAAAGCAAGTAATACAATGTCTGCAGGAAAAACTAAAGCAATACAATGGCAATGAAAATCTAAAGCAAGTCCAAGCAAGTGACCTCAGTGTAAAACCTCAAACAAGAACATTTTTGATAATGTAATATCAATGGTAAGTATCATGCAAAGTAATATCAGTCAAAAACCTTAATAAGGGATACCGAGCTTAGAGAAATATTAAGCAAATATGGCGTTTCACTGTATCTCAATTTTTACGATAGCATTTGTCTTATACTTCCTACTGGTACTTTGCATGTACGACATAGCGTCAAGTGATATAATTATCACCTTTTTATTGTCTTATTTACCCTTTCTTGTTCCCCATTTATTTCGCCCTTCCGGAACACATCGGAAATTATCTTATGTAGTTCTTGGGACTTTACGATTACGTCATGGTAGCCAGACAAAAAAACAACAATAAAGAGCAGACGGTAAGCGGTTAGCGACATCTGGACAGGCACAACAGCTTACAGTAACGTCGAACAGCTTCCCACAACTTGATTATACGTATAGAGAAGGAATCAAGACCCCCAGTAAAGATGTTGCTGAAGAATGAAGGATACAGGTTTGTAATTTTAGGGAGTTGACGCGCTCGAGTTTATGAATAGGTGTGATATGGAATTGATATTGTTCGTTAGATTAAAGTTTTATGCTGATTAATTTCATAAATTTCTCGCAGCTTGGTCTATTATTATGTCACATTAATTGCATATTCATTCATTTTTGTACTATTGCTTAGTATAAAACTGCCAGTGCCACTGAGTGATAACGAACTGTATATTTAGAATAGGAGATATAGTTTGAAAGACAAATTAGAAGCTGTTGAAATAAAAACGGCATGACCGTACTAAGAATCAGAAGATTGGAATGGGTTGGAAAGTTTGTGTTGTACGTCCCGTCACATGTATCAACTATGGTCAATTAAAGGACGTTCCAGGTTTTGGCGGAGGAGGAAAATCGAAGTACCCGGAGAAAAACCTGGCAGGAGTACCCGCCTCACGTTGGTCTTGAGCTCGCGACCCAGTGGAGGGCTAAACACGTAAACGGTCAGACACCTTAACCACCCGGCCCTCCCAAAAGTAAAAGAAAACACAAAATGGAAGAATATGATACATAAAATGTTATACCCCTTTTCTCACATCACACTCTAAATCACTTATTATAAACCAGGGGGTTGAGCTGCCCTGTTGTATGATATGCCAATTAGTACACTATTCTATGTATGTCATGCAATTTAACGTCAAAGGGAAATTTCAAATAAAATAAATGTCAACGAAACTCTCCACCAATAGAACGTCAATGGAAAATCTCGATGAACTCTATGTCAGTTTAAAATCTCCTTAAATATGACGTCAATATGACAGTTCAAGTCATAGAATGTAAATTTGGTGTTTAAAGCAAAACATCTCATTGGAAAATATCAATCAAAAACCTGTCATTGAGAAACTTAAGTAATGTAATGTCATCGAAAAGTTGGCAATACAATATGAATGGATAAAAATATTTAGTCAAATACAAGTTTCAAGTAACACAATGTTAGAGCAGACTTGTCATTCACTATCAATAACTGAAAGCGACTTATATATTGTATACAAGTGAACAATGCTGACAATCAGAAAAAAATTACACTTACCTATTCTCAAATATCCATAAAGTGTCTCTTTTACCAGCAACAAAACAACTCCTTTGAATATTGAAACACTTTTCCGTAGTTATATCAAACTGATATTCACTTCAAATATCCACAGTAGTCACTGTATTGACCAATGTGACACACGTTTTATGATAAGCCAGACACGTGACAACTACAGCGTCACACTGTTGTTGCTTTCACAGAACTGTTAATTTCAATATCTTGATACAACCTCACAGGCTGACGTTAACGCACTAATTACTAGTTCTCCGATAGTCATTGTGTGATAGTTAAATTTGCATCACAGGAGAACACAGAATCTGAAGTGGAAATGAGTTTCGTATTTTCTTAATTTCCAAAGAAGAGTTCCAACAATTTGTACCTTGTCTGTGTTAACAGTGACTAGAACACACAATGTCCTCAGGTATTATTGAGTCGAAAATAAAGACCACGCGCGGAGGCAAATTAACCAATCAGGAACGAGAACGCTTGTAAGTAAAACACCGTCTCTGCCATTGATCATATTGGGTATCGTAAAACAGCAACAATTAATGCTCCGTGTAAACACAAACACTCTCCTCAATAAACCACGCGGGCGTGTGTTAAACTGGTATATACCAAGTGCTGTAGCCAATTATTGCAAGATGCTTTGCGCCATTTGATCCTCAACGATAAATCTATACATGTATGTTTTTGTTTTTGATCAACGCCTCGTGCCGTATCTTGATTTAACTTTTTAACCTATATCTTATCGATGTCTGTAGCTATTTTTTACGCTATGGCGCTGAAAGAGCTGTTATAAAGGTAGATTTATCCGGCCGTATTGCAATTTAACAGAAGAATTGAGGTATAGACTCCACAGCAGTCTACGTATGTAGATATGTCAAACCAATAAACATAATAATACAGTCAAGGAATCAAATCAATAAGCAGTTCAAGTATCACTCTAATTATATATTTCTGAACTCTGGGAATAATAAAAAAAAAAGCAAATCTTCACGAACTACTTTGTCTCTAACGAACCTGTTGCAACAGTTTTAGAATAGTTAGTGATATTTGCATTTGTCTGTAATCCGGACCAAGAATCATGGGAGTTTTAATATCGTTGACAAATGCAATTCTCAAAGTTAAAACCACTCTTAACTTGTCACGTTCTACAGAATACCTATGCACTTCAGACACATACTAGTGGCAAAATGTCAACTTCTGTCTTGTAAAGTGCAAAGATTAAAGCCAGGTAAAACTGCTTTCGAGAATGACGATACAGCGTTGATGCAAGGCACGGTACCTACTGACGACTGTGGTCCTTGACTGTTGTTCCAGACGTGTTAGACACAGACAAAAAATATTCATCAGCAACACCGTTCCAAGCAATATCCAATATCATCAAGAAACGTAAACTTGATCGTCGATGGGGTTCGCTAAAACCTATATTAATCTCATATTAAGAAGAGCAAGGTAAACACAATTGCATGATAAAATGACAAGTCGGTGGTAACAAAATCGAATATCCATATCCCATCTTGCAAAATATTTTTTCCGTCGTAGGATTTTAAGAAAGCACCTGGAATTGTTAATTGAATAACGAATTGGAGGTATTGTATCCCGTATCAGCGATATTAGCTATTTGACACCAATACTGACAATGATAATCTTGTCGGTCAGATATAGATATTCTAGCTTGGCATTCGTTGTTATTAATCCCTGAAGGCCAACACTAAGTCGATAGCTGTTGAAGAGAGAAATCTTATACTAATGGCACAACGTAGTTTGTACCTGACTCAGACTAACTGGTAGCAGTGTATCTACTACGTTTACTGCCGGAGTATAATAGGCGGTTTCTAAGACCTATCTTGGTCAGTGGGACCAGTAGCAGCAACAGCGACTGAAGGCAGAGTGAGCTCTCGGCTGGATAAATACTGTTACCAAAGTCTAGCTGTGCTTTATATATGCGTCAGCTCGGTCTTGAATATCAAAGGTAAACTGTATATTTGATGTCTGTGCCTTTGTCCTAGAAACACAGAAAAGAGGAAGGTTTTGAATAGCTAAATTGTCACTACTAGTGCATAAGCTTCCTCATATATAACCGCTTTAAACAGGTGAGAGATAATTTATCCTAATCATGAATGTCCCTTATGTTTTATGTTTGCTGGATCAAAAGTTCCCTGCGCGATAAAGAGAAATCATTTCATGAAAACTCATGAAAAGCTTTTTAGCAATGTTCGCCAAATAAGTTTATTTCAGCTGACAAGCCTTTTTATAAGGCATATTCCTCAACCTGATTAAACATTGTCTTTCATACTTGCTACGGCCAATTCATAATAGTTCAGTAGAAATAAAATGCGCATTTCAAACACAAATTGGTGTATCGGTATTGTGGTCAATATATTCGAATACTGTAAGCGTGGTTATTTTAGCGCATTCTTATTTTAGGGCTCTGTGATGAATTAGCGCATTTACAAAAATACAATAGAAAACAATATACGGTGGTTAAAATGTGTGTAATTATAATTAAGCGCATCATTTAAAGCGCGAAAAGCCCCCCAAAAATAAGACTACCGCTTAAATGTTTACGTTTATAGCATAGTGATATATGACACAAATAGGCAAAATGGATTAATATGCACTGCTTTGATTTCAATGTTTGGCACACAGCATACTTAAAATGACCATTGTAATTCGTTTAAGCATTCTCAACGCAGAAACGCCAAATCCTTTCTTTATGTAAAACCATTTTCTTTTGTGGTTAAGGAATTCAAGCTCACAAGTTCTTGGAAATTGAACGTGTAAAGAAGAAATGTCCCATAGTATAAGCGTTTTTAAGCAGGTCTAATTATTTCAGCAACATTAAGTTACTGTATAGTTAATAACAACTTGATAAAAGATGGAGCATCAACACCAAGGATTCCGTAGGTTTAGAATTTATTAGTTTACATGTTTCGCTTATTAGTTTAAAGTTTACACCTTTCGTCTATGGAGCTCTGCTAGAATACTCCGGTATCCACCCAGGACTCCTCCACCGATCCATCTAGCGAACAGTACCACCCACGGGACGTTGGACTCCTCCACCCCCCCTTTTTTTTTACTGTATAGTTGTTAAATTTCGCGGGGATTATATTTCGCGGTTGTCCCAATCAGAACTAGTTCGAGGGGATTAAATTTCACAAAGCTTGGCAAGGTTAAATTATCGCTTGAAGAGGTACTTTGATTAAATTTGAATTTAGGTGAAGGCATCGATTTATATATATTAAATTTGTGGATAGTGTAATTCATGGGATTAAAATTGGTATTTAATTTCGTATAGAAATCAACACACACATACCCCCCTCCCACGCACACACACAAACCGCCAATATTAACAGCTATACAGTATGCATGTATACTGTTTTGATGTACACTTGGATATAGACACAGGTCGTATGGCATGATACTTGTAGAGACATGTTCATGATGGATATAAACAATGTTTAGACATTCTGATGGCACGATGTAGGTTTAATTAAGACATGTCTACATGTTATAATATAGACAGTTATATGCATGTCTATTGCGTTAACATTGCTCTGACAGGTCTGATGGAGAAGTGCAGTCGTGACCAATGCATTTTAGAGGCAGATATTATTTTTAGTCATTGTTTAAACACGTCCTGCATACCCGACATATTCAGACCTACTAGAAGCAGAGGAGGAATATCGGTATTTTCGTCACTACTGCTAATAGAGGGAACAAGGGAAAAACTTGTATGAACAAGTTTTGATGAGGAAAATCGCAGGAAATTGCATATCAATTTGCTTGAAGAGACACCAAAGCAAAAGGGAAGATTGCAACGTAAATTGAGAAGCACAAAACAAAATCAAGAAAGGTCAAAACAGGAATCGAGGAGACACTAAAACAAAACGAAATGGGCATTGAGGAGAGAAAAAAAACATGACAAATTACAATGGGAATTGAGGAGACACAAATAATAGGACAAATTACAATGGGAATTGAGGACACACAAAAAACAGGACAAATTACAATGGAATTAAGGATACACAAATACAAGACAAATTACAATGGGAATTGAGGACAAACAAAAAACAGGACAAACTACAATGGGAATTGAGGAGACATAAATAGCAGGACAAATTACAATGGAATTAAGGATACACAAATACAAGACAAATTACAATGGGAATTGAGGAGACACAAATACCAGGACAAATTACAATGGAATTATGGAGACACAAATACAAGACAAATTACAATGGGAATTGAAGACACAAATAACAGGACAAATTACAATGGGAATTGAGGATACACAAAATACAGGACAAATTACATTGGGAATTGTGGATACACAAAAATCAGGACAAATTACAATGGGAATTGAGGATACACAAAAAACAGGACAAATTACAATGGGAATTGAGGATACACAAAAACAGGACAAATTACATTGGGAATTGAGGCGACACAAAAAACAGGAAAAATTACAATGGGAATTGTGGACACACAAAAAACAGGACAAATTACAATGGGAATTATGGACACACAAAAAACAGGACAAATTACAATGGGAATTGAGGACACACAAATAATAGGACAAATTACAATGGGAATTGAGGACACACAAATAATAGGACAAATTACAATGGGAATTGGGGATACACAAAAAACAGGACAAATTCCAATGGGAATTGAGGAGACACAAAAAAAAGGACAAATAACAATGGGAATTGAGGATACACACAAAACAGAGGACAAATTGCAATGGGAATTGAGGAGACACAAAAACGGGACAAATAACAATGGGAATTGTGGATACACAAAAAACAGGACAAATTCCAATGGGAATTGAGGAGACACAAATAACAGGACAAACTACAATGGGAATTGAGGACACACAAATAACAGGACAAATTAAAATGGGAATTGAGGAGACACAAATAACAGGACAAATTACACTGGGAATTGAGGACACACAAATAACAGGACAAATTAAAATGGGAATTGAGGAGACACAAATAACAGGACAAATTACACTGGGAATTGAGGACACACAAATAACAGGACAAATTACACTGGGAATTGAGGACACACAAATAACAGGACAAATTAAAATGGGAATTGAGGACACACAAATAACAGGACAAATTAAAATGGGAATTGAGGACACACAAATAACAGGACAAATTAAAATGGGAATTGAGGAGACACAAATAACAGAACAAATTACAATGGGAATTGAGGGTACACAAAAACAGGACAAATTACATTGGGAATTGAGGCGACACAAAAAACAGGAAAAATTACAATGGGAATTGAGGACAGACAAAACAGAGGACAAATTACAATGGGAAGTGAGGAGACACAAATAACAGGACAAATTACACTGGGAATTGAGGACACACAAATAACAGGACAAATTACACTGGGAATTGAGGACACACAAATAACAGGACAAATTAAAATGGGAATTGAGGACACACAAATAACAGGACAAATTACACTGGGAATTGAGGACACACAAATAACAGGACAAATTACACTGGGAATTGAGGACACACAAATAACAGGACAAATTAAAATGGGAATTGAGGACACACAAAGAACAAGACAAATTACAATGGGAATTGAGGGTACACAAAAACAGGACAAATTACATCGGGAATTGAGGCGACACAAAAAACAGGACAAATTGCAATGGGAATTGAGGAGACACAAAAACCAGGACAAATTACAATGGGAATTGTGGAGACACAAAATACAGGACAAATTACAACGGGAATTGAGGAGACACAAAAAAAAGGACAAATAACAATGGGAATTGAGGATACACAAAAACAGGACAAATTACATCGGGAATTGAGGCGACACAAAAAACAGGACAAATTGCAATGGGAATTGAGGACACACAAATAAAAGGACAAATTACAATGGGAATTGAGGATATACAAAAAACAGGACAAATTACAATGTGAATTGAGGACACACAAAAAAACAGGACAAATTGCAATGGGAATTGAGGACACACAAACAACAACACAAATTACAATGGGAATTGAGGATACACAAAAAACAGGACAAATTCCAATGGGAATTGAGGAGACACAAAAAAAAGGACAAATAACAATGGGAATTGAGGATACACAAAATACAGGACAAATTACAACGGGAATTGAGGAGACACAAATAACAGAACAAATTACAATGGGAATTGAGGATACACACAAAACAGAGGACAAATTACAATGGGAATTGTGGAGACACAAATAATAGGACAAATTACAATGGGAATTGGGGATACACAAAAAACAGGACAAATTCCAATGGGAACTCAGCATACACAAAAAACAGGACAAATTCCAATGGGAACTCAGCATACACAAAAAACAGGACAAATTCCAATGGGAACTCAGCATACACAAAAAACAGGACAAATTCCAATGGGAACTCAGCATACACAAAAAACAGGACAAATTTCAATGGGAATTGAGGACACACAAATAACAGGACAAATTACACTGGGAATTGAGGACACACAAATAACAGGACAAATTAAAATGGGAATTGAGGAGACACAAAAAAAAGGACAAATAACAATGGGAATTGAGGATACACAAAAAACAGGACAAATTCCAATGGGAATTGAGGAGACACAAATAACAGAACAAATTACAATGGGAATTGAGGATACACAAAATACAGGACAAATTACAACGGGAATTGAGGAGACACAAATAACAGGACAAACTACAATGGGAAGTGAGGAGACACAAATAACAGGACAAATTACACTGGGAATTGAGGACACACAAATAACAAAACAAATTACAATGGGAATTGAGGATAGACAAAAACAGGACAAATTACATTGCGAATTGAGGCGACACAAAAAACAGGACAAATTGCAATGGGTATAGAGCACACACAAAAAACAGGACAAACTACAATGGGAATTGAGGACACACAAATAACAAAACAAATTACAATGGGAATTGAGGACACTCAAAACAGAGGACAAATTAC